CACCTGACAGAGTTTCTGTGTAATGCTGGTATTATCTTTGCGGGTCCTGAAAGAAGACATAACTCAACTTGCAATTCAACTCACAAGTAGGCCAAATGTCAGTCAAGCTCCCAGGAGAAACATTGTTGTTCCATTTTAAACAGCACTGGTTCTGCCTGAGAGCCTATGCTGCATCGCGCCAAGTATCAAATTAATATTTAGCATGTTTACATAATGCTCATAGTGTTGCAAACATAAACATCCTCCGCTTAATGAGAACAGATAACGGCTTAATTATTGTGACAGCTGAACTTTACAGTAACAGTATGTTGTTGTGTGGGTGTGTCTTGGTAGCTTTGTTACTAATGTAAAAATTAATTCCTGTAATGGTCACACCCTACAGTATGGGATGTTGAATTGCAATCTGAATTAGAATGAAAGCAATAGGACACGAAAAATAAATAATAACATCATTAATTTAGACTTTTGCCTATTTATGTCCTGATATGTACTGTATAATACATTTTTCTCAACTGATGCATTTTTCTAAACTACAAATTTTTATTTTTCTATACAGTATATAAAATGTCCTGAAAACACTGATTTCAGGTTATTTTATTGTTTTTAGAAAAAATCAAACTTATGTAGTGAGCATGTGTAATTCAGTGAAAAATAAAATATATTATTAAATGCATTATTAAAAACTTCACTTGCTGCCATTTTCCCAGCATGTTCATTTCTTTCAGTTTCAGTCACTCTTCATTTTATTTCCTTTTATTCAAAATCAAATTCTGCATCCTGTTTGTTCATCAGTTCAAATTCAGGAAGTGAATTGGAATTTAACTGACATTCTCAATTTAATTTCAAATGGTGGGTGAGTTTGATGTTGTACTTTGTCATTTTATATTGAGTGAGGTTAAAAGCTCAAAGACTTGACCGCTATCATTTTTCTTCTGAAAGGGAAAGGTTGAACTTTAAAAAAGCAAGTCAAAGCTGAGACCTTCAAGCTAGGAATAAATTGTGCTGCCCTTTTAAAGCTGAGATAAAAAAAGCCCAACTTAGCAACAAGGCCAGACTAGCGCTTGATCTCTGACAGGGCTACGTGAACTTTCTGTCATATCCTGATTAATTTCTTTTTCAACTTGTCAGTCAGAAAAGTAGCAAAACAGTTGGATTCGTTGAGAAATCCAAGCCACAGATACCTGAAGGCATGTGTGTAGCTAACTGAAAAACAAAATTTGGTACAACAGAAGTTTAACTGTTCTGCTGTGGAGTTTATGAAGTCAAGTTATGGGGGTTGTCTCAAATGCTGCTCTAATCTTAAACAGGAAACAAGACTTAAGAATCAGACATGCAGTTTGTTGACAGAAGCACCGTCCTGAGGCAACTGTATATAAAAAACCCACAAAAACCTAGCAACCTAATTTTACTGTCACTTGCCCATGCAGAAGAATCTAAGAATCTCCACTGAGTATTTAAAAAGCTCCAGATTTTTCTCTCTTTCTTTCAGAGACACACATAGACATTTGCAGATGATTATTTCACAGAGAGGTCTCAGGAATCTACGGAATCTGCTCCCTCCTTCACACTCACATGACATTTGTTAGCCTCACAATGACTGCCATTTTTATCAGACACCCCTGACACCAGAAATGGCCTGATCTTATCATTGCCTTATAGAGACATCTTAGCACTCATCTTTATTCATCTGTTGACTCCCTCTATAATGCACATTCATTATGGACATGTTTGAGCAATTCACTTCTGCTTGTACAATCAAGTTTCACTTCAGCTGTAAAGTCCCTATGAGTCTGATTTTGAGTTAGATACTGTACTGCAGTGGATCATTCTCAAAAATGTTGACCTTCTGACTGCTGAATTTTTGCATTCAGCTTTTGTCTTATTAAAGCTTATGGCTTACTTTTCTGATGTTATTTCACAAATGAAGTAAGACTTGTAACACTAGTGATGATATAATCACTGACAAATTCTCATAAAAGAAAGAGAAAGAGAAAGGCACTAGTGTTGTCACGGTACCAAAATTTCAGTATTCGGTACCAATACCAGTGAAAATCCACGGTTCTCGGTACCAATTTCGGTACCAAAGCAAAACACAAAAACATGCTAATTGAACAACATTTTTATTAATAACGTTAAACAAAAATTAAATGTACAAAACCAATGCCATTCTTTATACTTATTTAAAATTGTTTCAAGTTTTTCCACAAGTAATAAAAGTATGAAAAAAGTAAACAAGTTTCACCCAAAAGTTTAGTCATAGTTCTGCTGCCACTGAAAAACATCTGTAAACTGTTGTCTGTTTTAGGGTTTGCTGGTGTGTTTCAGGATCTTCCTCAGTGTGCAGCTGTAAAAGGAAAATATAATATACTTAAGTAAAGCAATGGGCTGAGTCTGACCAAATGCAACATAAGATCATTGACACCAGCTAAAATATAACTTTTCAGTAAATAACAAACCTCAGCTTTTATAATAAATTTAGATAAGATACATATATTTTAAGTCCATTGTATATCAAATAGATGGAGACTGTAGTATTAAAAACACTTTACAATAAGATTGTATTTGTTAGATAACATGACCTAACAATAAACAATAGTTATATGGCAATTATTCTTCTTAGGGTTAATTTCAAAGTTCAATCTGTTAAAATTATTTAATTCACAATGAACAAACATGAATGATCAAGTGTTTGTATTAAATAACATTCACAAACATTAATGAATGTTTTAAAAATATATTGTTCACTCACTGTAAGATGTTACTAGATCTAACTCACGTTAGAAAACATTAAGTCATTGTACAGTAAAGTCTATACAGGAGATACAATTTGACTGTACTTTTATTTAATCCAAACTGTGTTCATATTTACATCCTGCTAGAGATATTCAGCCAAGACTTACAACTAACTGACTAAAAAAAAACAAAAACAAAAAAAAAACTTTTTCTGACGGACTGATATGACAAACACTGTTAACATACATTTGTACATTCTCTAACACGCATATTTTGGTTACACAGTTCATTTAAAAGCCTCTGGTGTGTAAAAATAGTAAATACCATTATGTCCTCCTGTTTTTTTACAGTAATAAAAGTTATAGGAGCATTAAATAGTTAAAGAAATCATTTTGAACAAAATTCATTCTAATGCTCATTATATTAGCGTTAGCCGCGCTTATGCTAACGATTAACTACGTATACGCTAACATCGATGTTTATTTCAATCCAAAATTCAAATTAACATATGGAATAATATTCCCAACAGAACAGAAGCTCTAAATATTAAAAATGTAATTGAAACTTACCTGCTTGAACTTGATCGGGGTGTTTTGTTAGTTTGATGCGTTTCCTCCTCTTGAGGTCGCCACTGCTTTTATGAAGAGGTTGCCAGGTTTTCACAACAAAACCCACCCAATCGCGTTTCGAGGGGGTCCCCCGTTAAAAATCGCGTTCCGGGGGCTAAACATCACGTTAATGGGGTCGTTTTTCAACCCGCGGACATGAAAAACAACCCGCGGCAACAGTGTTAAAGCAGCCCAATTATGCGGGACAACCGCGGACTTGGCAACACGGGAAGAGGACAGCTTTCGGATAAGCGCATCAAGAACCGGGTTGACCGGGTACTCGGTACCACCGGTACTTAAAAAAAACCTGGTACCGTAACGTTTTCATTTTTTTAGTACCGACTTGGTACCGAAATACCGGGTCTTTTGACAACACTAAAAGGCACCTTGCAAATTCTTTATAATCTGCAAAACATTACAGTCCAACATTGCATATTATTTAAAACAATTTTAGGTTATATAATAATGCTTGGGTTATATAATGATAATGACTTCTTTATTTTGATTTTTTTTCATGGCTGAAAAATCTGGTTTGTCTATTTTATTGTCAAATAATTCTGTATTTTAAATCAGCTTTACAGAAATGCATAATGTTAATGTTTATAATACTCTACTACTCTAGCTACACTGTACTACTGTTTACTATACTGTAGTCAACATTTAGCAGGTTTACACATGGAGACCATATAAACAATCAACCAGCTGAAATTCGCTATTAGGCTATCGCTGTATATATTCTGTAAAGACCTAGGTTTTAAAAAAAAAGGCAAAAAAGAAACAGCTCCCTCCACCGGTGGTATAAGGTGCATCTGATCACCGTTATCTCTTAAAATATGTGTATACAGTATATACAGTATATATAGCAATACTTAGTAAATGTCAAAGTAATTTAATCGATTTTTAAATAGTATGCATAGACAAGCAGAAACTAGATGTACATCACAACGTCATTTCTAAGATGTCTATGCAACATTTATCAACTTGTTTAATATTTCATCAGTGACACAAACGAAAGATTCCACATTCCTCTGAGAATATGTGATAAGAAGATGCTATTACCGTCTAATAAAAATTAGCAAACGTAGGCTATCTATCAGATTAAAGGCAATTAAATGTCTGATTAGCTAAATATTTGTTGCATTTTAAAGTACAGTAACATTTTAAGGTAGGCTACATTTTAAAACCAAATGTTCCAAATGCAACATTACATAGCCTACTAGTGAACTTGTTTAAGATGTTAAAATCGTGGTTAAATAATTATGCATTAAAAACATTTGGCGTCGTAGATGGTTAAAAATGATCTAAAGAAACTCTTATCTGATGACAGCATTTGTGAACTCTGAAGGGAAATGGGAACAAAAGAATTTCCCCGAGTCTGTGAATGAAATCTTTGTTTTATTACAAACCAAAGGTGCCTTGAAAATCTTTGTAGTTAGCTTTTTAGGAAGCTTTGTCTTTTACATATACATTTCCCTCACATAACCTTACACTGGCCACTGGTGAACTGTTAAGAAATAAAAGCGCTGACCCCTTAAACTCCTCTTTATGGGTGATAGTTTTAAGTCTTGGGGCATTTCGATACTGTTTATTCTGTGCAACTGATAGTATCCTTATCTATCCAAGTCTCACCGATGCTGGAGAAACAGTGCGTGTACTTACAGTGGCACCAGCCCAGATGACAGCACCAGTGCAGCTTGAAACACTTCCCGTGGCTGTGTGTGGCGCAGATGGATAGTCCATCGCAGGGCAGAAAGTCCGGTCGCCCTGCGCAACTCCTCGCTAGAGCCTGAGCTTCATCTAACTTCTCACTCTTCTGTCCGCCCGAAGCGGCCATCGCGCACGGATCACGCCGACAAAGCCCTCATCAGCACCGAGCGCTCGGGGAAGATCAGATGCGCTCAGCCTCGGCTGTTTTCCACTTTGACAATATATGAACAAAAGTGGAGATACGCCCAAGACTTCGCCTACCCAAGTTCCACTTCTAACCCTTATACAAAAACATCTAGTTTCCGCTCGATCTGCCTCTAAAACCGTTATTTTTGCATAAAAGATCGCCGTGCCAAATGTGTCCGTATAAACAGCTTCAGATCGGCCCCTGGACTGATCTTGATGCTTATTGCCGAAGACGGATTTTCCGTTTCGCTCTTGCTTCGTCGATCCCCGCCTCTCTCTCTTCTCTCTCTCTCTCTCTCTCTCTCTCTCTCTCTCTCTCTCTCTGTTATGAGTGCATGCTCGCTTGCTTTGTCTAAGAATGACTGTTGTCTGCAAAAAGGAAATAAGGTAGCCTACCGTATCCTACCATTTAAACTAAACATTTTAGAGTTCCTCTGAGCCTTTCAGTCTTCTGGGGAATTCTGGAAGAATGATGTAATACGTCATCCGTGTTTTGTTCAGCTACTGCTTCATGAATACTGTGCACTCAGGCTAACTACTCATTGTTTGATGAATTGCTATTGTTACTGTATACTACATAGGAAAGTTTGCATAATCGAACCCAGAGATGAAATGGTCTGTCAGGTAAAGTACATTTTTGTAAAGGCAGGTATTGAAGATCGTTGTTTTCTTTTTATCCAAACTATTAAGCCCCTACAATTTTTTTCTTTCAAAATCTAGGGAGAATTGCAGAATGGTTTCAGACATTGGCTGTGGAGATGAAAATGTTTCAGCTTTCAAAGTTAACCTAAGAACAGCCATAGAGGGCATCCATCCTCAAAGTGTTCCGTTTTCAAAGCTACTCTATTGTCAGCAGTTTTCTGGAGCGGCTCACCCAACATTTTACTCCTTCAAAGCCACTGTTGACAGCACAGTGATTGACTTCACATTAGACCACCTCAAGGAGAAAATGCCTGTGTCTTTTTGAGTCTTTCAATGGGTTAGTTGGTGTGGAACAGCACTGTCAAGGCCACATTATAGCATTGATAAAACATGCGCTCAAGTTGCTTGCAGGCAGTCTTTTATCAAAGGATGAAAGGAAAAATTGGCATGAATGAAGAAATTCTGTTCATGCATGAACCATATAGAATATCATCAAAAGAGAAATTGATTTCACATCTTTAAAAAAGCCTTTGCTATTAGCACAGGAGTTCTACACAATTTACGATAACTTGACATTTAGCTGTGTCTGTGCAAATATTCGTGAAGTATTTACACGAAGAATGTAAACTGGATCCAACCGATCTGAAAAACAGCTATCATAAAAAGATAGTCATTGTTTATTGAAGCCATAAACATAGTATACTGTACAGTATACACATAATACATTTCCACATATGCCTTATGATGTAAAAAAAATAGTGCTGTCAAACGATTAATCGCGATTAA